GTTATTAAAAACTGTGCCAGTAACAAGACTGGTTCTGAAGAACGCTTTGTAGTTTGGGTGTTATTAAAAACTGTGCCAGTAACAAGACTGGTTCTGAAGAAGCTTTGGGTTTAGTAATTAACAGGTTACGTACGGCTTTGCAATTAAATGCACTATATTTCAATAGTAAGCTATAACTAAAGAAATATTAGAATATATACAAATAAATAAACACCACTCACCGAGTTAAGAGTGATCTACTAATAAAACTACTACATTTAAATAAAAAAGCTACTACCAAAGAAGTATCAGAGAATGTACTCAAAATGTTATTATACACTCTTCTTGGTGAAAGGCACCAGTAAATAATGAACAGAATGTACTCAAAATGTTATTATACACTCTTCTTGGTGAAAGGCACCAGTAAATAATGAACAGAAAATTACTACTGTAATATCTATTTATTATTTCTTTAAAAAAAACTATAGTGATATATTCAAGAAGCAATTGATAAGATATTTTAATGGTCCAAAGATCGTAGTCAGAAACACCAGGGATTGTTAAACAGCTATCCAGCAGAGGGAGCTAAAAGTCAAGATTGTAATAATAAAAACAAAAAGTATTTTAAACCTTAAAATTAAAAAACACTACTCACCAGTCGTCCCCCCACCTGGGTGTGTGTCTGCCGATATCACACCCGGGAAGCGCAAACATCGGAAGTCTACTCCAAACTTATGCTGATAATACTGTCAGAAACAGAAATTAATTTGTACAGATATGATAAACATGGTAAATATCAAGGTTCACATCACTAAAAAAAATAATAATAAGCACAAGAAACCTCTTGCCAAATCTTTAAATAATCTTACACAAAGTTGTGGCTTTCAAAGGACATAATACATTGTCTTTCATCTGTACTCCTGTACTTTAATTACCTAAAATCTAAATATACTAACAATCATGTATGTATGGAATAAAATTGTATTGAGAAGAAAGTAGAAGAAATAAATCCGTGAACAGACGTGTTAATTCTGAAACTAAAGCCGAATATTCAATCTTTGTGTGAAAAATAACTATTTATAATATAATTAGAACTATATTAAATAAAAAAGCCATCTTAGAAACAGGTTGTAAGATCACGGTTATTTTGATTTGGTGTGCTTATGTTAGAAGCTTTCATGCAAGGTCGTCCCTAATCATCAACAAACAGCTAGTCACGAGTACCAACTGCCAATTCTTGAGTTAATTTTGTCTCGCCAAACATTCCATTCAAAGCCTGGTAAAGATATTTTTACTCTCAGACTATGAAACATTAAAAATTTTAAAAGATGGACTTGAACTTTACCTCTGAAGAAAAGTGGTCTTCCTTTTAAACGAGTAAGGGTTTTCACTGGGTTTATTTGAATGCGAGTTAAACTTTTTTTTTTATGTGAAAAAGCTGATAAGGGAAAATAGATTTCAAGATTGGGAGCTGAACTCAAGCCCAGATAATGGAGTATTTTCACATAAAATTTGACGTTAAATATTGTTCTGTCATCATATGCTATTGTAACAGAAAGATGTATAGATCTAAGACAGATATCTTATGATTTGATATCATTGATATCATCATGGTGATTATACCTATGGCTAAAAAAGCTTTATAAGTGAACACCAACAGAACTGGCCTGTACTCTCAGATAGCTCAGTGGTAGAGCATTAGCCCCGTTAGCCAGAAGTCCTGGGTTCAAGGTCCAGTCCCAGAGTTAATTTTCACTTCAAATTTAATGTTAAATATTACTCAACCATTTCTTTGTTTCTACATGTTTTTTTTTTTTACTATCATGGACAAGGTTTTATGTACATTCACTTGTATCAATGCTAACAAGGTTTAAACTTGCATCATAAGAAATATTTTTGTCACCTCTCCCAGAAGCTCTCCGTGCACCTTAGACACACCATAAATAGTTCTTGGTCTCTGTACACACAGGTCAGGGGTTGGATTCCGAGGAGAATCCGGGCCAAATGCACCAATGGTACTCGGTACGAAGATACGCAGTCTGTACTGTTTGGCTAATTCCATGACGTTGTGTAATCCTTCAATGTTCACACGCATGGCGAGCGGGACATTGTGCTCACCAATAGCACTAAGCAAAGCACTGAAGTGTATCAGCCAATCAATGTGATGCGTGACAATAATCTCCTGAAGATTCTTAAAGTCTAAGATGTCAGCGTAAATATATGGGCCTGGAAAAGAAGCAAGTTTAACGAAAATGGTAAAAATCTCACAAATCAAGTTATATATATTTTTCTTCATGTACGATTGAACCCGAAATGTTTTAGTAAATCTATAAATGTATTCTTGCTGGTTTAATGATTTTTTATTCTCCATTAAAGCAGAGTAAAGGTTACAGATATGAAAACTCACATTTACTGTAAAAGATCATAACCTCACTAGATAACCAGCCGTTCACATTTACTGTAAAAGATCATAACCTCACTAGATAACCAGCCGTTCACATTTACTGTAAAAGATCATAACATCACTAGATAACCAACCGTTCTTTTACAGTAAATGTGATCATAACCTCACTAATCTGATCTTTTACAGTAGATGTGAACGGTTGGTTGGTTATCTAGTGAGGTTAGTAAATGTGAACGGTTTGTAAAAGATCATAACCTCACTAGATAACCAACCGTTCACATCTAATATAAAAGATCATAACCTCACAAGATAACCAACCATTCACATTTATTGTAAAAGATCATAACCTCACAAGAT